GATATTTGTGATTATTGTATATATGTTTTGCCACGCAGTTATTTCCGCTAAAACTTTCAGTACTTATTTTCAGTTTTTGTTCCGACGTTAGTCGGATAAGACATTATAACCGTTTTAATTATCAGTTTAAAATTTTAACGGTTTTCAGAAAAATTAAGTTTTTCAAGGTAGCATCCCGAATCAGTTTTCGCAAAAATTAATGTTTTATTTATTTATTCAGAAATTTGCGAAAAATTGCGTACTCTGATAGTATTAAAAGTCGGGATGTTACAATTTCACAAATCAATTACAAGTTTTTGTAGCGAAGAACAATCTTTACAAGTTTTTGTCCTCACTACAAGAATCACTTCTTACAAAAATGGTATCGAAATACAAAGGGAACCTATGAGTTGAAAATGATGTTTTCAGTTATTACAATTGAAACTATAAAACAGTAAGCGTAAAATACAACTTGAATGCGGAAAGATGGAGCCGAGGCGAGGTAACACTTTCCCCAAGTCAAATACGCTAACAGGTTGGTGCGTCTTGTCCCAAAGATACAACGGCTAGTTGCTCTAATGATGTAGCTAGGGCAGAGCATGGGACTCGGAGAACTTCGAACCGTTCCGAAAACTGAACCGAAATCACTCTGAGCTGAAAAATAATCATTGACCATTTGACTTTCTCCGAACCGAACTGAACCGAAAGAATAATGAGTACGGTTCTGGAGAGTTCACAAATATTTGTACTGATAATCGAACCGAACCGTCCCTACTGTACCGAACCGAAGAACCGAAATTAAGAACCTAATCATAACATTAGATGTGTTATTAATATATTTTATGTCAACTTTGATTCTATATAATATAGTAATAAATATTAACCTTCACTTAAAATTTCATGCTTAGTAATACTTGATCTACAATTGAATTTTTTCTATTAAATAATTATTTAAAATAATATGAAAGTTTAAAGAATATTTTTTTAAGAAAAAAAATATTATATTATATTAGAATTTTAAATTTTCAATATTAGAAAAAAAATATTAGTTGCACAAATTTAGTTATAACTAAAATTTAGAGTTACTTATAAAGTTGACTTAAAAATAAAATATTTAATGTAATGAAGTACTTATAAAGTTGATTTACAAATTTACTTATTTTTTTAAGAATATAAAGTTGTTTTTTTAAAAACATATAAAAATTAAAATATAACTAGGTAGTCATTCAAAAATAATTTTAAAAAATAAAAAATTTCTAAAGATTCGAACCAAACCATACCGAACCGAACCATCCCAATAGTCCCGAAT